CTCTAGTTATTTTTTCGTATATATTATTTTTTTATTTTTCGTTGCTTTGTATAATCATAGGTCAATTCAAAAAAAATGGTTTATATGATAGAAATTTTTTACCAAGCAGATCTTTGAAAATATATTTCGCGGATCGCTCCTCTTTAAAATGAGAACATAGGGGGCACCATTCAAATTTATGCTTCTGGGTCTTATAAGGTGCATACCACTGATGCTTTCTATTTTCACATGACCAAAGATATACGTTTAGGCTATTTATATGATCAGTTTTACCAAGACATTTTCCACCATGCTTTTCGGCATATGCAATGGCTTTAGCCATTTTATTAACTACATGGATGAAATTAATAGATTTGAAGCGAGTATTTTCTTCCAATATACTCTGGGGCGGATACTGAAGTTTTTCTAGATCTATGTGCATGAGCTCTTCACGTACAAACCCCCACTTTGGAGAATATTCATCGTCATCATCTTCAAGATAATATAAAATTGGCTCATTCTTCATTATAACAATTTTTCGAATTTTATGTAAAGAAGGTGAAAACGTCAGATCTGTGGCCCTTTTCTAATTCTCCATACCGCCTTCCCATTCTGCATTAGCAAGCAGATAGCGAATACTATCCCCCTTTTTTAACTTATTTTTCTCATCCTTTCCAACAGAATGCTTATACTTTGTAGATGGCCTAGATTTTACTCGTTCCAGTTTGATAGCTTTTGCTAGAGCTAAACACCATTTTGATGAACCTGGAGCTCGAATGAGACGTGTTGGATAATTATTAAGATAATCTATTACTTCTGGTAAATACTTAACCCACTCTCTTATTAATTTAGGATTTTTGGATATTGATTCGACAGCATACTGAATTTTATAAAGCATCTCTGCTAACGTCTTATTGAATCGTTCTACAAGAGCTAATCCACAATGACTATAAGCACCAATTACTCGAATTGTGACATTATGCGCTTCCATTAGCTGACTTACCGATTTTTTGAATTCTGTCCCACCATCACATTGTAACAATTGAGGATAGATAAGGGGTTATTAGGGTTATCATAAATTTTCCTGAATGCTTTGGCAACCTCACTGGATTTTTTTGATATAAGTGGGACTGAAGCTTTAAACCGGCTACCCACATTCATTATATTAAGCACTGCTATCCATTTTTTACCTTTATAATGATCATGTGTAAGAAATAAGAGATCACACTGATATACACAATTCGGGCGAGTGATTTTGCTATAACTAACCCGTGGAGTATCTTTTGGTAGTGGTGCATGTTTTTGCTATTCATTTTGATTTGTAAGCCACTTATATACCTTTTTATATGAAAACTGATACCTCTCTGCTTTAAGATCTTTCTATAATTTTCGGGGTTGGAATGATATCCTGTTGGTTGATAGAATAATAACTTGCAAACAAGATCTACTTCCTCATCAGTACTAATTATGATACTAGGTTGGTTCATTTTCGATACATTTTATTATATTAATAAATTATTATTTGGTAAAGTTTTCAGAAACGTTGATATATTATAGGCTTGTACAATGCTATCAGATACAATAGTGTCTTTACCTAGTGAAACAATCAAAAAATTTGAAGCTAGTTTGCAGATAATAAAAAATCGATTCTGTAAATTACAATAGGATTAGTGTTCCAAGTTGATCAAAATTTTATCAATCGGTTAGTTGCCAACTATAGTTGCAACTAACCGGTTATGTATATCACATGACCAATTTAATCGATTAGTTGGTTAGTTGATTAGTTGGTTAAGTTGGTTGGTTGGTTGGTTGGTTGTATAACAAA